TACATTGATTGTTTTTCTGATGTTCAGCAATCCCTGCATACCTGGTATAAATCCCACTTGATCATGGTGAATTATTTTTTTGATATATTGCTGAATTCTATTGGCTAGAATTTTGTTGAGGATTTTTGCATCAATGTTCATGAGGGATATTGGTCTGTAATTTTCTTTTATTGTGGGATCTTTACCTGGTTTTGGTATAAGGGTTATGCTGGCTTCATAGAATGAGTTTGGGAGTATTCCATCCTTTTTTATGCTCTGAAATACCTTTGGTAGTAGTGGTGTTAACTCTTCTCTGAATGTTTGATAGAATTCTCAAATGAAGCCATCCGGGCCAGGGCTTTTTTTTGTTGGGAGTTTTTTAATTACCTTTTTAATCTCTTCTTTTGTTATAGGTTTATTTAGTTGTTCTACCTCTGTTTGTGTTAGTTTAGGTAGGTACTGAGTTTCTAGAAATTTGTCCATTTCCTCTAGGTTTTCAAGTTTGTTAGAGTACGGTTTTTCATAGTATTCTGTTTATGATTTTTTTAATTTCAGTTGGGTCTGTTGTGATATCACCCATCTCGTTTCTCATACGGGTTTATCTGCTTCCTCTCCTGTTTTTCTGTTGTCAGTTTGTCCAATGGTTTATCAATTTGGTTGCTCTTTTCAAAGAACCAGCTTTTGGTCTTGTTAACTCTTTCAATTGTTTTTCTATTCTCTATTTCATTTAATTCTTCTCTAATTCTTATTATGTCCTTTCTTCTGGCACCTCAGGGCTTCTTCTGCTGCTCTCTTTCTACTTGTTCCAGTTGTAGGGTTAATGTTTTGATTATGGCCCTTTCTTCTTTTTGGATGAGTGCATTTACTGCTATAAACTGGCCTCTGAGCACTGGTTTTGCTGTGTCCCAAAGGTTCTGGTAGGATGTGTTTTCATTCTCGTTTGAGTCTATGGATTTCTTTATTCCATCCTTAAGTTCTTCTATAACCCAGTAGTTTTTGAGCTAGGTGTTGTTCAGTTTCCATGTGTTTGATTTTTTTTTTCCTTGCTTTTTGTGTTGTTGATTTCTATTGCTATGGCTTTATGGTCAGAAAAGATGCTTTGTGATATTTCGATGCTTTGGATTTTGTTAAGGTTTGCTTTATGGCCTAATATGTGGTCTATTCTGGAGAAAGTTCCATGTGGGTTGGAAAAGAAAGTATACTTGGCTGCTGTTGGGTGGAGTGTTCGGTATATGTCTGTGAGATCAAGTTGGTTGATGGTAGCATTTAGGTCTTCTCTGTCTTTGTTGAGCTTCTTTCTGGATGTTCTGTCCTTCACTGAAAGTGGTGTGTTGAAGTCTCCTACTACTATTGTGGAGCTGTCTGTCTCTCTTTTCAGTGCTGTTAGAGCTTGCTTTATGTATTTTGGAGCCCTGTCGTTGGGTGCGTAAATATTTATTATAGTTATGTCCTCCTGGTGTATTGATCTTTAAATCATTATATAGTGTCTTTCCTTATCCTTTGTGGTGGATTTTACTTTAAAGTTTGTTTTGTCACAGATTAATATTGTCACTCCTGCTGTTTTTTGAGTGTTGTTTGCTTGATATATTTTTTTCCATCCTTTGAGTTTTAGTTTGTGTCTTTAAGTCCAAGGTGTGTCTCTTGTAGGCAGCATATAGACGGATTCTTTTAATCCAGTCTGCCACTCTCTGTCTCTTTATTGGTGCATTTAGTCCATTTACATTCAGGGTAATTATTGATATATATGAGTTTAGTGCTGTCATTTTAATGTCTTTTTTTGTGTGTTGTTCACAGTTTTTTTGTTCCACTTAATTTTCTGTGCTGAGTCATTTTTCTTTATGTATTTTCGTTTCATGTTTTTCATTGTTGTTCGTTTTGTGTTTGCTGAGTTATTATGTTTTTCTAGTTTTTTATTTTGATTTGTAGGATTGTTTCCTTTGTGGTTACCTTAATATTTACCCCTCTTTTTCTAAGTTTTTACCAGTCTTTTATTTCTTTATATGGCCTTGACTTCCTTTCCATATGAAAAATCTGTCTAAATTTTTTAAGTCCCTCTTTTTTGTTTTAATGTTGTCATCTTTTATATATTGACATCTGTTTCCCTATTTTCAAGGTTTTAGCTTTGATTTACTTTTGTGACTTTCCTATCTGGGTTGATATCTGGTTGCTCTGTTCTGTGTTCTAGTCTTGGGTTGTTACCTGATGTTACAGATTTTCTAACCGGAGGACTCCCTTTAGTATTTCTTGTAATGTTGGTTTGGTTTTTGCAGATTCCCTAAACTTCTGTTTATCTGGAAATGCCCTAATTTCTCCATCATATTTGAGAGACAGTTTTGCTGGATATATAATTCTTGGCTGGCATTTTTTTCCTTGAAGCCTTTATATATGTCATCCCATTCTTCTTGCCTGCATGGTTTCTGCTGAGTAGTCCGAGCTTATTTTTATTGTCTAGTCAATAATCATTTTAACTTTGGTTCTTATTGGTGTAGTCCTGCTTTGCACAGTCACAGTAGAAGATTGATCCTTATGTGTTTCATAATTTGGAATCGTTAACATCAATTCCAGCAGGGCTTTATGAGTGGGATTCCTGTGTGACCCCAGTAGAGAGTCTGTCCCTCCAGAGTACGTTCTACCTCTGTGCCAGGTTTCTGAGGGGTATTACCCGTGTGTGAGACCATTTTATATGGTAGTTTCTCAGTGAGGACAGATTGGTCCCATACCACTCATGTAGTTTAAATTCGAACTCTGAACTCAAGTGAGGGCAGACCCAAGATTATAAATTCTCAAGGGATACTCCTTTTCCCCCCTAAAAGAGCCAGGTCCTATTACTTCCCTATGTCAGTGAGGTGATTTTTACCCCACTAGTTGGCCCTTTCCCTGACGCTCCAATGATCCTAGCTTTAGATTGGGGAGGGGGGTCTCGTTTCCAATTCTCCACCTCTGTTGGACCTAAGCCTTTGTCTCTTGTATCTACATGACTGTATAACCTAAACTCCTTGGCTCTAAACCTGTTGCTGTTGATTCTGACCCTATAGGACAGAGTAGAACTGTCCCATAGCATTTCCTAGGCTGTAAATCTTTATGGAAGCAGACTGCCACATCTTTCTCCCACGGAGCAACTGGTACATTTGAACCTTTCAGTTAGCAGCCAAGCACTTAACCATTGTATCAGACCCCATTAAAACAGCTTCAGTGGTAGTTTAAATGTACTGTTCTGTTTTTTCCTTTAGTCTTCTTTTCCTCTTTGGTTTTAGCTGGGATGTCCCTTACTTTCTGTGAGGTCAAGCATGCATTTTAAATGATAGTTGTCAAATATTTTTATTCAGCATTTTTAGGTTTTACAGAAGGTGGTTTTCCAGGTTATCTGGTTTGCCATACTAGTGGAAATGGAAGTCTATTGTCTGCGTTTTAATTTGGTAGAACTTATTATTCCTAAAAAAGTGTTTTTCCCCTTTTGTTAAATTATTTAAAAATACATATATGAATCCATTCGTCTGTTTAAAAAATTAAGAAATTACATACAAAACAAAACTAAAATCTACTTTGCCTTTCCCCTTTCTCCCTTTCCCTAGAGCAACCTATGCTATGTTTGGTGTATATCCCCAATGAAATGGTTTTCAAAGAAACAGACCATTCTTCTCTTATGAATCATAGCTTATAGCATGTGTAAGGAAGTGGCAAAATCGACCTGACTGTCTGGAGCATTTCTGTTAAAATGCCAAAGGATAGATTTTGTAGAAGCTGCCTGTTGGCTGGTCAGGGCATCTAAGTCATACCTGAGTTCCACTTGTAAATATCCCCACAGTTTTGGAAGAGGAGAGATGTTGAGAACAGGTGTGGGAAAATTGCTTTAGTAAGTTGTGAAGTTTACTATTTATATAGCAAGACTGAAGGATTAATTTATATCACTTTTATGTTACAATAGCTCATTATTGTAACTTTTTCCTTATAGTAATCTTAGGGTTGTTTAGTGTTCCGCTGTTTACCAGGAACTTTCCTTGCATTATCTTAGAACAACAGTGGGGAGAGGTATGGTAGGCAACATTATCCCCATTTTACAACCAAGTAAAACTGAGGTTCAATTTATTTTAGTTAATGACTTGTAGAAAGGTTAATGACTCCCCTGAGGTTATGCAAGTGGCAAATGACAGAAGGTTTCTTATGTCCTGCCATGAGAAGTGAGGCAAGTGGTTTTTTTGCCATGCTGTCACTAGTGGCATTCTTCATTAGGGCGAAACTAGGTGTCAGCTCAATATTGACCAAAAAGAACCAGTGTTTTCTTGCAAGATTATTCAAAGTCATCCTTTCAACAAATTTGAGCACTTGCTGTATTCTAGACAGAGGGATTACAAATGGGAGCTGAAGTGCAGGTTTTCGATTTGGTGACTGACATGCTTTCTGCTTTCCTTCTGTAGACTGATAATGGTCTCCAGTTGCCGAAGAAGGTTGTGGTTGCTAAGAGAAAGGTAACCATTTCCCATCCCCTTGAGTGGAATCGGCTGCCTCTAGGAGCCCATATTGGCTGGCAGTAGACATGGCTGAATTTACAAGCTACAAGGAAACGGCCTCCAGCCGCCACCTGCGGTTTAAGTTACAGAGTCTAAGCCGGCGCCTTGATGAGTTAGAGGAAGCCACAAAAAACCTTCAGAAAGCAGAAGATGAGCTCCTGGATCTCCAGGACAAAGTGATTCAGGCAGAAGGCAGCAACTCCAGCATGCTGGCTGAGATTGAAGTGCTACGCCAGCGAGTGCTGAGAATTGAGGGCAAAGATGAAGAAATTAAGAGAGCAGAGGATCTGTGCCAGCTGATGAAGGAGAAACTTGAAGAGGAGGAAAACCTCACCCGGGAGCTGAAATCTGAGATTGAGCGGCTTCAGAAGCGAATGGCAGAACTGGAGAAGCTAGAGGAGGCCTTCAGCAGGAGTAAGAATGACTGCACCCAGCTTTGTCTGAGCCTGAATGAGGAGCGAAACCTGACCAAAAAAATCTCCTCAGAGCTGGAAACGCTCAGGGTCAAAGTGAAAGAACTGGAATCTTCCGAGGACCGCCTGGATAAAACTGAGCAGAGCTTAGTGTCAGAGTTAGAAAAGCTGAAATCATTAACTCTGAGCTTCGTAAGTGAGAGAAAATACTTGAATGAAAAGGAGAAAGAAAACGAGAAATTAATAAAGGAGCTCACTCAGAAACTGGAGCAGAACAAAAAAATGAACCGAGATTATACAAGGAATGCTTCCAACGACCTGTTAATTGAGGATGGTATCTCTTCCACACTGCCGTCCAAGGAGTCAAGAAGGAAGGGCACTCTGGACTATCTGAAGCAGGTAGAGAATGAAACAAGAAACAAATCAGAAAATGAAAAAAACCGATATCAGGAAGACAACAAAGTCAAAGATCTTAACCAAGAGATAGAGAAACTGAAAACTCAGGTCAAACACTTTGAATCTTTGGAAGAAGAGCTTAAGAAAATGAGGGCCAAAAATAATGACCTTCAGGATAATTACCTAAGTGAACAAAATAAAAACAAACTCTTAGCTAGCCAGCTGGAGGAGGTAAAGCTACAAATCAAGAAACAGAAAGAGTTAGAAAATGGGGAAGTAGAAGGGATAGATACTTTCCTATCCAGCAGAGGCAGGCACGAGAGGACTAAGTTTCGAGGCCTCGGAGGTGAGGCATCTATGTCCAAGCACACGTCCCGGGAACTGTCCCCTCAGCATAAGTGGGAAAGGCAACGTGACAGGGCGTTTGCTCTAAGTAATGGAAACCGCTCTCTGAGCAGCGGGCAGATGTCCTCTCCCAGTTTCACCAACAGGAGGGCAGCCAAAACTTCCAACATGGGGGCAGGTATGGACAATGGGACTCAGGAGACAAAAAGAACTGAAGACCGATTTGCATCTGGTTCCTCTCAGAGTGAAGGGAAGAAGTCCAGGGAGCAGCCCTCGGTGCTGAGCCGTTACCCTCCAGCTGCCCAGGAGCATAATAAAGTTTGGAAGGGAACTCCCAAGCCAGGCACTGAGAGTGGCTTCAAGGGAAAAGTAGAGAAGACAACAAGAACGTTTAGTGACACCACCCCTGGATCCGTTCCCAATGACACAGTGGGTAGAGCTGATAAGGCTTCAGACACCTCTGAGGCCCTCTTTGGCAAGAAGGGGCAGGTACCTGGCAGTGGAAGTCAAATAACGCAGGCTGCAGACTCTGGTAGTCCTAAGGCCACTGGAGTGCTGGCCTCGTCACGAAGATCCTCCTCAGAAGGGCTGTCTAAGGGCAGAAAGTCTGCCAACAGCCAAGAGGCTGATCCCAGTTCCCCAAACTCCAAGGCTCCTGTTTTATCAAAGTATCCTTATAGCTCCAGAAGTCAAGAGAACATCTTTCAGGGCTTTTCAACCCCAAATAAAGACGGAGTTGACCAACCCATAGCAGTTGTGATGGAAGATAGCAGTCACCATGAAGCCCTGAGGTGTCTTGTGATCAAATCCAGTGGCAGAGAGAAAGCAGACTCAGATGATGACTTGGATGTAGCATCTCTCGTTACTGCCAAGTTGGTAAACACAACCATCACTCCAGAGCCGGAGCCCAAACAACAGCCCAACTCTAGAGAAAAAGCCAAATCCCGAGGGGGCCTCAGGAGCTCCCTGTTTGAGAATGATAAATACGCTGGAACAGAAAGTGAGTCTGTGAAACCTGCCAGAGCCTCCCCCAGTGCTGCGGAGCCCCCAGATGCCAATGGTGCTGGAGTAAAGAGCCAGAGGCCCTTCAGTCCCAGAGAGGCCTTGAGGTCCAGAGCCGTCATCAAACCCGTCATCATTGATAAGGATGTGAAAAAAATGATGGGGGGGTCAGGAACCGAGGCTGCGCCGGAGAAACAGAAATCCACTTCCAAACCGGGGCCAAACATAGTAACCAGCAGCATTACTATCTACCCCTCTGACAGCAGCAGCCCTAGAGCTGCCCCAGCTGAGGCCTTGAGGGAGAGGCACACGTCCACCAGCAACATCCAGGTTGGGCCACCAGAGCTCGTGTCAGTCAGCAGCCACGTCAGCTCCCCCTTTGAGCTCTCCATTCACAAACACGACATCACCCTACAGCTCACGGAGACCGAAAGAATGGGAGAAGGGCCCCTGAAGAGCAGGCCAGAAACAGTGGTGTCTCGGAGCAGCATCATCATCAAGGCATCGGATCCTGTGGAGAGGAACAGCCACACACACCCCGCAGAGACAATCAGGTGGAAAAGCCATAATGCCCCTTCAGAAGTGGGCTTCGCGGATGCCAGACACATTACTGTGCGGAACGCTTGGAAGAGTAGGCGAGACTTGAACTCTTTAGATGACCTCCCAACTCGAAGAGGTAAAAATGTGGATTTGATCAATGCCTACACCCAGAGGTCTTCCACAGACTTCTCAGAACTTGAACAGCCCAGGTCGTACCTTTCTGAGCAGGGCATCCGAAAGGGAGGAAATTCAGGGGATGGTCCAGAGCTGTCCTCCAGAAGGACCCAGAGCAACCTCACCGTCTCTGAGGTGCTCACCCGTCAGAATCGGGCAGGAGACACTGTCACAGCAGCAGCCTGGAACCACTTAGCGGGCCTGGTGAGTCCCGTTTCTGTCTCTTTCTCCCCGTCCCCTTTCTGCTGCTCTCCCTTGCCCTCTCCTTCCACTTTCCCTTGTCTTTCTCCTTTGCTTCCCTCAGCTCTGGCCTGTGTGACCCGGGATTAGGGAACTATGCTAGCTCAGAGAACTGTTAAAAATCAGGTGGGTTTGGCCTGACTTGAAGGTATTTGGCAGAGAGCAGCATGACCTTCCATTTGTCTCCCTCGTTCTGCCCCAGTATATGAAGGCCACACAAAAGGAGTTATGGCCTCTGTCCTCTTGGTTTGCCACTGTAGCCAAAGGAGCTCCCCTTCTGGCCCCACAGAACAGCACCTGGAAGGAAGCATAAGAGCCAGCTACAGCTGATGGGCAGCTTTGAGTGAAAGTAAGAAGGCCGGTGCCCTTTGTGTAGGGTACAGAGATGGGAGCTGGTGAACAGGTTCTTGGCTGCCTCAGTTTAGATAGCAGATCTTTGCAGGCTGCTGGCATAGGGGATGAGGAGAGCGAGGGCTTACGCTGGGCCTACTTGAGAAGCTGTAGGCCTGAGGGCCACTTTCTCTTGTCCCAGACAGCCAGCTGTCTGGCCCATTATAGCAGCAGTCTCTGGGCAGGGCTGTCGGTGTGGCTAATACAGGATAAATCCAGAATCACCTTCCTTACTTGAGGGTCAGAGTGTCAGAACAGCACCTGAAGGAGAAGCCTTGGGGTGTGGTGTCTCTTAGACGGGGAACCTGTGAGGATGAAAAGACATCTTGGACTTAGACTCACTGTTCCTTCTTTAAAAAGGCAGGTGACTGTGTGAATTTGAAGAGCTCTGTAAGTTTACGCTATACTTAATACAGAGTACTTCCCCACCCACCATCTCATTCAGTCCTCCCAGCAGCCCTGTGGGCACATGTTATCCCCATTTCTCAGATATAGAAACTGAGCGTCAGAGACACCAAGTGTCAAGGTAACCCAGGTGAATTACTGGAAGAGCTAGGATTTGAATCCAAGGTTCCTGTCTTTAAATCGCATGCTCTTTCAACCCTGCCAGCCTGTCTTTCTCATTCATACTTCGATTATTCCTCAGTCTGCCTTTGCTTGGAAGGACCAAGGAGAAATTAAAAAGGTAGAATTCTAGGGAAGCGGAGTGGGGAGAAAGATGGGCGTTTAGGCTCCTGAAGCTTTGGACATCTGAGAGAGATACCGGGTGAGACGCAGGCATGGGATATGACAGGGAAGATCTGTGAGCTTCCTGGCAGTTTCTGGGTAGAGTAGGAAAAGAGCTGTCTAGCTTCCTTTTCAGCACACTCGCCTGCCCCCCGCCAAGGAGATGGCTCTCCCACACAGAAGCATGCCGCCTGCCTTACAGAACTCAAGGAAGAGAAGGCAGCCACCCGATGCTCCCACCCCAGGCCCTGACTTCTTCACGGCTCCCATTCAGTTGTGAGCCTCCCAATCTCCCCTCATTTCCGGGAACTTTTATACTGGCCTGTGCTCAGGCAAGAGCATATCTTGGTAGTTACACTATGGTCTGTCTGGGTGGTGTACCATTGGAGTGGGGGCAGGAGTGTCTTGTTCCTCACCATACTGTCCTTCCCAGCTCACTGTTGTCATTTATTGGCACAGGAGGACAGTGAAGACTGCACACTCAGTGTCTACAAGCGACTGCACAACTCCCTGGAACGGTCTGAATTGCCTGCGGAGCAGGGGCTGCCAGAGCCTGGGCGGGTACGAGCCGAGGACCGGTTACGGCCACCCAGGCCCTGTGCTAAGGAAAACTGAGCCAGCTGGGTGAGGTCTGCTGTCTCTCCTCTGCTCCTGCTTCTCACTCTTACACCTTCCTGCCCCATGAAGGATCCAAGGCCAGTTACCCAGGCTAGATGCAAGGCCTTGCTTGGCTGGGAGACTATGGCAGAGAGCCAGGCCGTGGCACAGGCTATTTCTGCCAGTTGGCCAGAGGGGGATCAGAGACTACAGCTGGACAAAGCCACCCAGGCCAGCCATTCCCTGATGCATGAGTCTTCGCCCCTTGTCCCACTCCCCCTGGTAGTACGGACCACTCTAGCCCCCAGATGCAGATTATAGAGAAACTCCTTGTATCCGCCACATAATAGCAGCCGAGAGCTCTTCTCTGCTCCCTGGGTGGTTTCTGCATCGTAGGGCATCTCCTTCTCTGTGTGGTTAATGTTCTATTTCTGTCTCCTCACAGCGTCCTAGTCACTCCTTGTTTGCCCTAAGGGCAGAAGTATCCACTACATACTAGCCATCAGCTCCATCTGGGGCTTGCAGTACTTTCCCCTTTGGAGTTCTTTCCCTCAGACTTGTAAAGCAGAGAGGTCTGTGCTGCCTCTAAGGGATCCTGGGACTATCCTTTGGAGTGAAGCTCCTCTGGCCTGGCCCTCTGGCTGACTATTGTTCCCTGGGGGCAGAGCATGTGGGTTCCCGTTGGAATGACATCCCTCCCTCCACAGCCCTCTCTGCTCACCTTCCAAAAGCACCCAGCCGTGCACAAGCCCTGTGCATCTCTTCCCCTGGGCACCAATAATGCTGCTGGCATTGCCTGCTCTCGCCTGTGACTGGAGACTTCAGGCCAAGTTCATCGTTTCCACCTTGGAACATCCCCAGACTAAGCTGGGCCTCACCCAGCACTCTGCCTTCTAGGAACTTCCCAGCAAGGGGAAAAGCAAGAAGAAGCAATTTCCCTTTAGTTCCTCTGCAAGGAAGAGATCCATGGACTATGAGAATACTCCCTCCTGTTCCTCCTCCTTCCCCCCCCAGAGGAGGTATCGCACTTTACCAAGCTAATGCATTCCTACAGAAGTGGGCCCGTGGTTTCCACCTGTCGGCTCAGGATGACGACTGCATTGGAGGAATGGTGACACCTTCCCACCGAGGGCCCCAGGTCTGCACAATGCAATATGCAGCCAACCACAGGAATAAAACTTGGTTTTGTTTCCTTATTATACCGGTCACATAGGGAAGTTAAAAAGAACCATATATTCTTGGCTGCTTTTTCCATAACATTCTCTCAGTTCAAAGAAGGATCCCCCTTTAAAGGCTGTCTTCCTGAAGCAGGCACTGTTGTCTTCATAGTAGAAGAAAAGAGCATTAGACTAGGAGTCAGGAAGCCTGGGTTTTCTTCGTGGCTTTTTAGGTTTTGCTACTTTCTTGCTGTGTGACCTTGGGCAAATCATTGTCTTCTTGAGGCCTCAGTTTCCCCATCTATAAAGTGAGTTCTTTGAAATGGATGATTTCTAAGGGCATTCTGAGATTTTCTTGTTTTCCTCCGTCCCACGTGGGATAATTCTCACTTTTTAGAAGTTGTCTCCCTCCCACCCCTTCTTTCATTTTTCTGGGCCTTACTCTTTCCAGTTGCCCCGTGTTTTAATTTCATGAGGATGAGCTCAAAGAAACTTCCTAGGCCTCAGTTTCCCAGTCTGTGAAATGAAGGGGTTAGTGTAGATGGCCTCTGAGGCCCTCTGTGACACTAACTTTGCCCAATGCCACACAGTGTCTCTTGGCTCTCAGGCCAGGGTGCTTTCCATAACACGGGCTGTGTGTCTCCTGTTCCTGTGCCTGCCCTGTGAATTTCCTGGCAAGAGGTCAGCCTCTTGAGTCATCTCTGCCTCCAGTCAGTGTGGGACCCAGCGCCCATCCAGCCTTCATCTGCATCAGCTTCCACAATCCCGGAGGAGGCGTGAGCAGCAGCACCTGCCTTCCTTTCAGGGATAGGAATGTCTTGCTCATACTTCCATTTTCTTGAGATTTGCCAATCTAAGGGCATTGTCATGTGGCTTGCCTTTCCTCTCCATATCCCTGCCTCAAATGCTTAACTTAAGATTCTGTTTTCAAGATCTTTTCCTGCTGCTTCTGACCTGGGTCACTGGCCAGAAACTAGCAGGCTCAGGGTTGCAGCCTCACTTGCAGCCTCCTTGCCATTCTCCTTCACTGGTTGGTAACCCCAGTGGAAACTGTCCTGTGGTGGTCAACTGAAGGTATATGAAACCAAGTCTGTGGCTCTTCTCTGGTGGTGGAGATGGAAGGGTGCCAAGCCATGCCCCAAAAGATCTCACCAATAATTCTCATCTTTGGGCCTTGGAGCCCTGGATTCTGGTGCTGTAGCTCCTGGTGCCAAAGTCTGGATCTTTCTGCGTTTTAGTAGCACCAACATCTGCCACTACCCACAATGCTTTGTGGAAGGGGGACAGCTGTGGTATCTTCCTGCTGGGGCTGCCATCTCGAAATCTGAGTGCAATAGGGTTTGATTGTAACAATTACTTCAGGATAAATATTTTGTTTCCTTAATCTGCACACTTTCTAGAACCGCTGTAAAATAGAGTTTATTTTTAAATGTTCTCAGCATTGCAGAAAATACCATTTGTAACAGCAAGTGAAGGCTGGAGGCTTAGTTCCTCTTGGCTTCACATGGCTGGCTGGCAAGGCTGGCTCTCAAATTCCAAAGTTAGAAGGCACATTTCTGAAAAGCAACCAAGGTATGACTGTTTGGACCCAGGCCTCACCATCAGGGGCCCTGGAGGAAACCTCCAAATAGAGGAGAGACCTGGTAGATGAATAGTTGTCTAATCAAGCCAAGTATGTCCACTGTTCCAGCCAACAAACCCACTTTGATGACAAGTCTTGTGCAGCCTGACTCTAAATTCACAGACAGGTGTGTGGTCGTGGGAGGGCTCCTGGAGAGGCTGGGGAACCTAGCATTATAGAGCTGCTGGGTTAGAGGAAGCGGAGTTGGCTAAATGCTGGGAGCTGGTCTCTTTCACCTGCTGCTGCCTGTTCCTTTCCACTCTGATCCTAAAAACAACCACAGAAAGCTGCAGGGGTGATGGACAAAGAAGCTGTGGCTGTTTTTGTTTGAGTGGTGATGAAACAGCTATCATGTGGGTTAAAAGGCTTTGCACTGGGGCCAGGAACCACCAACCTCATCTGCAGGCAAGCTTGCACATAAACCATCCCCCTCCCGTGGGATATGGGGTCTATACTGGTCTTGGACTTGTCGTCTGGGGGCAGTTTTAGTTCTTTCTATTTAATACGTCAGTGCCAAGTGCTACCACTTCCCAGTAAAGGATTAGGGACCCAGAGGCTGGGTTCCTGGCAGCCTTTGTTGGGGTGATGTTTTTTGTTACCCTGACAAGACTGCTTTGGAAGAGCTGCTTTTAGGAATTATCCTTTGAACACCCCAGGTGGGGAACAGGGTTCTCCTCAAAGCCTCACAACCAAGATCATAGGAAAGGGGCCCTTATTTTCCTGCTGCTTCACAGCTCAGAACTTGTACTGAATGGAATGTATTTTTAAGAGAATAAAGTCTATTTTTTTGTATTTTAAAGATTGGGAGGGCTTAGGGAGGTAGTCCTCAAACTGTTACTGCATTATCGACCCCTTTGCCGGGGCATCAGTCTGTCTGTCCACATCTACTTGCTCAGGCAGGTGCTCCGTCTCACCCCTGCCTCCTTGGAGTCCAGGTGCAGCAGCTTCTCTTCCATTCCTGCTCCAAGCATGGGACCAAGGAGGCTGGAGCCTGTCCCTGGAAACCAGGGCAAAGCCGTGAGCAGTGAGTGACTCAGGGCTCCTTGGGTGCATGTGTAGAGTTGAAGCTGCCTGTCTGCATGTATCCTCCAGCGCTCATGCCTCTGTTGGCTCTGCAGCACAATATGTAACCAATAAAGCTCTCCAGTTTCCACGTGCTCTGTGCGTCATTGCTGCCACTTGTGTTGACGTCATCTCTGTGTCTAGCTGTTTTCTGCGTGGGTGCAGCTGGTGCATTTCACCGTGTTTTAAATACCTAGGCAGTTACTGCTGCTGCAGGACTGGACATGTAGCTGAGGCTCGGCAAAGGGCATGCCTAGGACCCACATAGCTGAACTAGGAATCAGACTTGACTACATTTTATTTTTAGGCTTGTCTGTTGTCACAAAAACCAAGATCATCTCTCAAGCTGCCTATGTCATCTATTTAAAAAACAATCTCTTAAAAGCATCTACCGTTGGATCAGACACCCAAGTCACCCTGAGGTCAGAAAGTTAATAGCAGAGCTGGATTCAAATAGAGGTTGCACTTTAAAGTCCATGTACTTTTCCCGCTGCAGCTCTTTTTGACTTTCCATCAGTTACACCACTTGCCCCAATCCTGGTATGCAGCTCCTCTCCACTGTTGCCACTCATTCCAAGACTAGGAAAAACCCCTCTCATTTTCCAGTAACACCACCAATATAATGTCCCTTAAATCCTGGTGTTAGTTGCTGTGAGTCAGTTCCTACTCATAGCAACTCCATGTGTGCAGAGTAGAACTGCTCCGTAGGAGCCCTGGTGCAGCAGTGGTTAAGAGTGCGGCTGCTAACCAAAAGGTCAGCAGTTAGAATGCACCAGCCACTCCTTGGAAACCCTATGAGGCAGTTCTACTCTGTCCTGTAGGGTCTCTATGAGTCAGAACTGACTCGATGGCAGCGGGTTTGGTTTTCTTTTTCTTTTTTGGTAGGATTTTCAAGGCTGTGACCTGTTGGAAGCAGATCGCCAGGCCAGTCCTCTGAGGTGCCTCTGGATTAATCTGCAATGAATTTCCACTAGTAGTCGAGTGCTTAGCCATTGGTGCCACCCGGGAACTCCCTTAAATCCTACTAAGAATAAAACCTCGTTTTGAAGAATTACAGCAAGAATTGACAGCGAGTAAAATCTGATTTCCAGAAGTCTTTCCATAAGTACCTATACTGCATGCATTTATAGTAACATAGTGTATGTTAGGGGCCCTTGGGAAGGAACAGGTATTGCTCCCTCTTGTTGAAAGAAAATTTTTCCATCTGAAAGTATGCTCTGAGAACTCATGGATAGATTAGCACCGATAGGGTAATTCTGGGTGGGGCATTTTGCCTCAGGCAAAGTGTGCTTAAGTGTGGAGAACACTCAAGTGGAGAACACCTAGTAGAGACTGAGTTGGAACCCTGGATCTTTTCCTACAAACTGTACCAAATGTCAAAGAATCAATGCTTTTTTCCAGATCATATAGGAAATATGATCATTCTCTTTGATTCCCATCTAGATTGACCTACCAAGGTCACTTGCTATAAAAGCAAATGAATAAATACAAGTCTCTACAATGGCTAAGGGACCCTGCTGGTGCAGTGGTTAAGTGCTATGCTGCTAACTGAAAGGTTGGCGGTTCAAGCCCACCAGCCACTCTGCGGGAGAAAAATGTGGCAGTCCGATTCTGTAAGGACTGCAGCCTTGGAAACCCTATGGGGCGGTTCTGCTCTGTCCTGTAGAGTTGCTATGAGTTGGAATCAATTCAATGGCACACAACAACTATGGCTTTTCTATACAGAACAAATGGCTTTGGACTCTATGGAAGGTTTTGGGAATTGTTTGGACCCAAATATTAACTGTTTGCAGCTTTTGGAATCACTCTGTCTGCCCTGGCCCAGCATCCAGCATGGAAGCAAGAGATGACTGTGATGCTGGGGGAACCTGGGCAGCGAGTTCGTTCGCAATTAGGGTGACATATGTACCAGGCTGCTCCAGACTGTTTACACCTGTTCTACCTTAATAGAACCCCCTTTCGCTCTTGAAAGTGTTCTGGTGTAGGTAAGTCGTGTGGCCAAACCATGCACAAGAGGGCCCTCTAACTATTTTAATCTTACTTTGCATGTTTCCTCATTTATTTTTCCTTTAACATCTTTGGCTCATCAGATTATTTTTACAGAAGCCACAGTCAGACTTAAAAGAGCCACAGCGAGCTTCTGGGATGCTCTGAGGAGCCCTGGAATTGCCTCAAAAGGGTAAAGGGAAGAAGGGAAGGGAAGGGATGGCCCACACACTGGAACTATGGTTCTAATTTCCTTTTGTTGAGATTTGGATTAAGAATGGAAGGGATTAAAAAATTAGTCTCTTGCTAAAAAGTCTAAAAACTGTACTTGTCCATCCTCCTCAAACATGGAGAACATACCACAGAGAACAAAGATCCATCCAAGATCCTCAGCTAGTGTCAGAACCCAGGCCAACTCTCCGTGGAGATTTCTCCATGTCTTTGCAACAATCCTTGGGGGTGGCGGGGGAGACACAGAGAATGGTTTTTAGAAACAAAGTTTAAAAGTAGTAAATAGTTACTGACTTTGTTTCCCCACCAATTCAGGGGTTACCTGCTAGAGTGGTAAACTGGCTTATTGGCCAGTGGTTTTTCAATGGAGGTGGGCCAAAAGTCATCCTTCTAACAGCTGGAAGTCTGACCTATTTCTTAACTCCTTGGTTGCCTTCAGGCCACTGAGTGCTCAGGATCAGTGTCCAGGAAGCCACTATTACAGAGCCAGAGGACTTTCAACAAAGCTGCAGGTTCCTCTTCTGC